TTGAATCCTATCCCGTAAAGAGTTGAAAACCTGTAGTTGGTATCTTCGTCCTCGGCAAGGAAGGCTTCCCTCAACTCCTAAACCCTAAACCCTATAAACCCTATAAGCCGTATAAACACTATAAACACTATAGACCCTAGAAGCCCTACGAACCCTATAAGCCCTATAAACCCTAAACCCCCGAATGTCGGGCCTCCTCCAACCGGTAAAACTCCGACCTCCACTCTCTGACATATGAATCCTCCCTTCGGGCTTGCCTGGACCTGGCGGAACCTACCTTCTTAGGGTTCCTTGTCATGACTTCCTTATTAAGCTATACATAAACCCCTGAAAAGGTACCTTACCCAAAGGGTCCTATGAACTTATGCAATAGAACGTATGGAAACCAGTGTAGGAATTACTCTGGTGATTTAGGGAAGTATCCTCCATAAGAGTAGATAGGACCCTGTGGGGTAGGGTTTAGGCTTAAGGCTTTGACCATCACAACAAAGAATAATAACAGCAATCATACCAATCATAGGGATCGCGAACCCTAAAGAATAGTATTTTCCGCATCCTAACCTGGACCCTATTGCCTTACTATTGCCCCCATCAGAACTGCCTACTCTGCTTTCCATATATAAGTCCGTAAGAGAGGCAGGTTATTTGGGGATTACGGTAGGGTTTACTTACGTTTTAGATCCCACTCCGAGAGCCCAGTGGCGCTGAACGAGACGAAATGTGAGGCAGTGGTCCCCAGCTTGCAGAAGCTCCTGCAAGGCTTTACCTACAACTTAAATGCCCAGTAGCCTGGGATTAAAAAGGGCTCCCTTTTGGTATTGGGTGCGTTTATAAGGAACCTGAAACTCCAAAAAGAAAAAAGTGCCAACTGGGAGACCCAGATATCCTAACCCTGAGGCTCTGAGGACTCATGTTTTAAGGCTTTTGGGCCCAAAGACCATACTAGATTAGATAAGGCTTCTGGGCAATTTTGAGACTTAGGGTAAACTGAAAAGCACTAAAGTAGGGCTTAGGGTTTAGAGTTTAGGGTCCAGGATGGACCCTAACATGGATCTGCCTTCCTTTGGCTAGCTTCTAAAGCTGCTTGCTGTAGGATCCTAGGCATAAGTAAGATACGCTCACGAACAAAAAGCGCTGGATTCCCGGCTGCTCCAAGCAGTTCTCCACACTATGAAACTTGCTGCAAGGAAACTGGTGAAGTTTACTTTCCGGGGTTCAGATGTTGAGGCTTTGTGAGAAGCAGCAAACTAGGTTGGCCTTTTGAATAATGTTCTGGAAAAGATTCGTAAATAAGATCGTCCAAGTACCGTTTAGGGATTGAGGGTCTATCAGGGGTTTTGGGGTTACTTAGAGGATTAGGGATTTAGAGATTACTTAGCGGATTATGGGTTTAGCGGATTAGGGGCTTAGGGATTAAGCTACTTAGGGGATTAGGGGTTTAGGGATTACTTAGGTTTAGGGTGTGACAGTGTCCGGTTTCCAGGTCGAGGCTTCCAGTGCTTCCTGAGGCCGTCCTCGACACGTACAGAAGTGATGTCTTGGCCGTTCTTCACGAAACCTGGGCAGCCAGATCTTCGATTAGACTAGAAGCCTCAAGGGCTTCGGTGTTAGGGTTTAGGAGTTCAGGGGTTTGGGGGTTTAGGGTTTAGAGGTTAGGGTTTAGGAGTTTAGTGGTTTGGTGGTTTAGGGTTAAGGGTTTTAGGGTAGAAGCCTAAAAGTTGGAAACCCAATAGCCTCAAACCGTCCTCAGTAAGCAACACACCTTAAATCAGGGGGCCTATCATTGAAGAGAATCCTAACTCCTCACCTTCAACCCTAAACCCTAAACTGGGGATTCTATTGCTTGATATACAACAAAGACCTGTAACCTTAAACCCAACACCCTGAACCCTAAACCATCCTAAACCCTGAACATAAAACCATCGACACCCGGAACCCAAAACCCTAAGACCTAGACGGTTTAGGGTTTCGGGTTTAGGGGTTTAGGGTTTCGGGGTTGAGGGTTTAGGGCTTCGGGGTTCTAGGGTTTAGGATCCCAAACCTTACTTGGAGGCCCAGGGGACTTAGTAAGTAGGTTATAAGTAGACTTATAAGTACCCTAAATGGAGTTACCCTAATTATAACACTACTTCTAGCCGGCTTACTACGTCCCCTGGGCCTCTAAGTAACCATCGGGATCCTAAACCCTAGAACCCCGAAACC